TACTTGCGTTGTATAAAAAAATCGGATTTCACAAAAAAATTGGAATTGAGCATCAAGGTTTGCAGTGTGAGCATAGCCTCAGAGACTGGTAATTATTCTGCTGTTAAATTGGTATTCTTGATGTCATTGACGAATACTGATCTTACTGTTATCAGAGGGTATTTAGTTTAGTATGCCTTTTCAAAACCCATCAAAGTTGTAATAAACATTGAAGGGCAAACTTCCCCAGAGCTCTGTCGCTGATAGAAGCAGGTAGCTTTTTTAGAGACGGCTGTTTAAAGCCTGAGTGAAGCTACAGCTCGCCCTCTCTCCAAACAAGGTATGGGATTGATGGTGAACCACCCGCTAATGGGACGTTTGTTTGGATAGAGGGGAAAATTAGTGTTGGGAGATGGAATCCTTACCAAACAATTCCACCTGTTTTAGGCAGCCCAGAAATGCAAGAAGGATCTGTTTCGTCTGTGTTTTTCCTCCATGTTGTTTGTAAAGGAAGTGGTTTGTAGATAATCCAAGTTTACCTTTTTGTGGTTTGTTGATGAAAAGGAAAATAAAAAAAATAATCATTTCCGTTTAAAGGGAGTGTTAGGATGAAATAAAGAGTTGAGTAATAACAGAGTGGTGCGTCACTAGTTTGGAATGAGGTACATAGACACACGTCTCGATAAAGGATCAAATAAATTAAGTCATCTGGAGCTACAGGTGTCAATGTTTCACCCCTGTTCCCTCTGGTGAAGAATAAAAAGAGGAAGAAGAAAAATTCCTCTGCGATCTCTCAGTAAAGCCCTGGGGCTGTTTCCCAAGCAGTGCCATGTCAGTAAAGCTGCCAAGGCTTGTTTCATGTTGAGCAGATCGCGTGTCCAGGCTGGCCAGTTGATTGCCTGTTGTTATCAGTGGGGGGGGGGAGCAGAGGCTGTAACCTCTAGGCGGCCTGGAGATCTGGATTAGATTGGTCCTTCCCTGCACCAGACTCAAAGGGAGCTTCATCAGACACAATGGGACTCCCACGCACAATCATTGCACAAGCAATAATTATTTAAGAGGCCCGTGGATGATGCCCTGTATGACAAAGTAAGATGTGTGTTTTTGCTAGCATGTCATGACATGCAAGAGTTCGACAACATTCGGGGAATACTAATTGGTAGCAACAGAGGTGATTTTTCTGGATGACTGGTTTGGGAAGTTTCTGTTGCTCTTTAAACGATCCGTTTTCCTAAAAACTGTTGGCATGTGGAAATATTTTGATCTGCATTGAAAGCTTTAAAGTTCAAGGCCTGCAAGTAAATCATATGTTTAAGGGGTTTCCGTCAGAATGTAAATACTGATTGTCTCTTAGTCTGTTTGTAGTTTTTTGTTTTGTTCTTTTTTTTGTACACCTTAATATTGAAAGTTCTTTTTTGCAAAATTATATATGCTTAGAGGTTTTGGTTGAAGAGGATCTGGGAACATAAGTTGTTAAACATTGACAAAGAAACTCAATTGGGTTTCGTTATGGACTATCACTAAACTATTCCCTGAACATGCTTTGATTTAAGCTAACACAGCTCACTTTAAAAAAAATCATATTGTTTCAAAACTATTAAAGTAGATGTGAGCATGAAGGACTGTCAGAGTCCATTGAAAAAGGCAAATATGTTTTAAACATTTGGACTAAGGAGATATGGCACTGTTATGTATTACAGTAGCCTATCAGAATTTGCATCCAGGAAGCCTTCTGCTCTTCAGGAATGCACATTTTGATCCTCAAATGGGAAGGGATAGTATAATTCAGTAACATAGATGAGTGAATATTACTTGTTTTTTTACTCATCCTTGTTCTAGTTAAAGGTATTATGGAGGATTTTGATAATTTTTTTAAAAGACCTGTCCTCACCACTTTGAAAAAATGCACTTGCATGAGCCCATTTCTTCTCGTGCACGTTCTGTTTGAAAGTTGCTTTTCTCAAAGCTCATACAAGCTTACTGTGTCCGAGCATCCACCCTAACCCCTAAATCTCTCACTCACTATAGAGCAAGGACTATAGAGTGCACTTTATAGTGAACTCAGTTAACTGACCGTTCAGGTAGACGATCACAGCTTTTTGCACCGTTAGTGAAGTAAGTCCTCCTTCACTGCGCAGTGCCTGTGCCATCTTTGTTATAAGCCGCCGCTGTCGGGTAGCAACAGTAAGCCTCTGTGACAGCAAATCCCATAATTCTTTGCGAGGAGGGCTCTCTGCGCAAAGCTTTCTGGGATATATGTTCCTCTTCTGAGGCCTTTCTTTGCTTCTACATTTCGAAGACACTTTTTCTATTACCCTCGGCCATTTTCAAAAAACCGCAGTGAGTGTCTGAAATGACTGTCAATGACTGTCTGAAACCGTAGCTCGCCACACATACGCGGCTGAAAGTGGGCATGCCCAGAAAAAGATATCACCAGAATGATTGACAATGATCATTATTGTCAATCATTGTCAAAAATAAAAGGTCGTCCTCTATACCTTTAAATAAACATTAAAAAGATTAGGTTTAGGGTATTTGTTTTTATTTTTTTTGGAATTAATAAAGAACCATCATGAGACATGACTGCATTTAATGTTCTTAAATAACAAAAAGAGCAAGTGAATTCAGGCTGCACTGGGGTTTCCAGGGGGGGTCTTCCTTCAAACGGTATGGCTAAGCTCTGTTATCACTGCTAAAACAATGGACCACCTCCCACGCCAAAACCAGTAAAATTTCCACTGCACCTCCTGATGACATATTGTAGCAGAACCACTGACCACAGCCTTGGTGCAGAAAACACTGAAAACACTCATGGCTGTGAGATCAGCAGCTCAGAGGATCTTTTCAGCCTGCATATTTAGAAATCCTGATCACCATTTAAAATGAGACTGTCTCTGTTTTTCAGTTTTACTATTAATGGTTTCTTTTTTTCAATCGTCAAAAAATGTCTTTCATGAAATGTTTTCCTTTTCTCCAAAGTAACATGAGCTTAACAGTTTATTTCCACTACATCTGATTGTTAATAGCTGGGTGAGGATCTACTCTAATTAGACCATGCATGGTCTTTGTTTGCAGGAGGTCAGCTTTGGCGTGTTTATCTTATACTAAAAAGGCCGGCTGCCTGTTGTTTGTTTCATTTCATCACAGACGATAATTACTCTGCATGCTGCAGCATTAGTGATTACTGATAGTGGGTGACAGTAAACAATAGAAGAGGGGACAAGGCTGCATTGGGTCATTTGGCTTTGTTGCTAAGACATCCCCGCTGTTGTCATTTCCTCATCATCTTTACCCTCTTTGCTTCCCTAACGAATAGATTAGTCAAATTAAATGCTTGTTTGTGAAAAGGAAACTAAATGGTCCAAATAGTATGTCATTCTGTAATCCTATAGCAGCACTTTCCTTCATGCCCCTCTTGTTTCATGCTAAGTGCTAACTCTCAGGTGTGCATTTGATTAGGACTGGCTCTTATATGCTAATCACTAACCCACACATATCTTTGATAGGAGAATCTTCAAAAGCCTGAGAGCTAGCGCTAAAGGCTTGTTGATCACGTCTGGAGGGGAGGTTGAAAGAAATAGGAGGACACTTCTAGAAGATTCATTATCCGTGGCTATAGGGGAGCCAACTTCAAAGTCTGTGCTGAGGTGTCACTCACTCTTACCTGAGGACAGGGAATGAGTGATCCCCACCTACCCCCCACCCCACCTTTAAAAACACACTTCCTGTTAGTACTTGACTGGGAGAATAGTTTTTTTCACCTCTGTGTTAATATTGTTCACATATTTTTGGCTCTTTATTCTAAGTAAACTGATTGTTTTACCTTTTGCTTCAAATTATGCTGAATTAGTGTGTATCTGGTGTAGAAAGTGAAGCACACACAATGAACCTCGCCTTTTACCTCCCTTGCTAAATCCTTTTAGCACTCCTATAAATTCTCTCACTCGTCTCGCCCTGCTGCTCCCTTTGGTAGCCTTGACAAAGAGCAGATGACTTTTCTGCCCCCACTTATTTCTAAGCAGTAAGTTAGACATGAACTTACCTAATGTCTGGTGCCAGCAGCTTCACCGCCTCTGCTGAGTAAACAAAATCTAAACCTTTTCATTTTTTTGCCTTGCCCTGTTCACATCTGTTTATATTGCATAATGTGTTACTCATATCAGCTTTTAATCTAAAAAAAAATAATGATCATATTGAAAACAAGCGCAGTTGGGGGAGCTAGGATAGTTACACAAGAGCTCCTTCAAACGGGGGTTTTCCTTTTCACTGCTGCATCTGGTTCTGCAAGAAAGAGATGCCTTTCATAGCAGAGGGACTGACAGAATGTGATATGGTAGAAAAAGTGGAGAGAGGGCTAATCTAGACACATTTTATACATTCTTCTTCTCCGCTGTCATCTTGTGTAACCTCACTGGCGCTGAAGAAATCTGCCACGATCATCTACTTTATGTGCAGCTCACTCTTTCTTTCCTTCTATGAATTTATCAACAAATACTGACATGTAACATCTTAATTGTTAATAATTATGTCAATAAAAATCTATATTTAAAAAGGTTACTTTAGATTTAGAAAAGTACATTATCCATTTTTAATGAATCTATTTTTTTGCAGGCATGAATTTCTTAACAATAGCTGACACAGCTCTACTAGCTTGCAATACAATACTTCCGCTGTTAATGGTGTCAAGGGAAAGAAAATGCTACATAACAAGTGGTTGCATACATCCTTGTTTTTTCTTGAGCACTTCTTTGTTTCTTTCTTTGTTTCTTTTTCTCTTTCATTTCTCTTTTTGAAGTACAGATGAATAATAGTGATGGCCTACTTGCATTGGATAAAGGATATTAACAAAGCACCGTTGTTGCCGATGTAAGAGGTGAATGTGACATAAGAAATTTGGCCTTAGGAAATTAATCTAAACCACTGTCATGTCTGTGACTTCAGATATTTCACAGTAGCTTAGGCTTTTTAGGACCATTTTTATCCCTGAGTGGCATAACTTTTCTGTCTCCTTTTGTCCACAGACAACCTGGAGGGTCTGCAGGAGGTTGTGCAGGAGCGCTTGGCAGAACTACTGCGTGTGTTAAAGACTGTCATTGGCAAACACCGAACGCTCAACTCAGCGGACCTTCTCGGAGCTGCTGGCACAGTCATTGCTAAAGTCAAAGGTGAATGTTTTCTCTGCGATTGCCCAACTGTACAGAAAGAGCGAGGCAAACACACCCAAACCCAAGTGCAAAATGATCTGATTATTTTAGAATAAATGTTATCATTGAATCAGTTGTTCAATGTAAGAACTCCAGGGAGGAATGTTCCCCTTGCCTTTGCTAAAGATATGATTCAAATATGTCTGGACGATGACGCTGAAGCAGACACGCTCTCATTTCTTGTCAATAAACGTCAACGTCCACTCATCCCTTTGACCGACAGCTGAGGAATTCTGTCTTCCTCTAAGGAGCAGCAGATGCAGCAATGCTGTAATTTTCATACCATATTTCACCTTCTGCAGGGCCCCTTTTCAGTCCAGCCAGTCGATTTTCCTCAGTTTCTTCCCCTTGCTATGCTGTAAGATATCTGTCTGATCACCTGTCCTGCCTTCTAAGTATGACATAGACACTAACAATGCCTGTCTGCGTTCTCTAGCCTTTTTAGATGAGTGTTGACAGACTCTGGAATCCAAAAAGCAAACAAAAGATTTTACGATAAAGATCATCCTAACTAAATGTTTTCTATTTACTAAGAATGGACACAAACATGCTGATAGGGGAGCAATGATGGCCATGCTACAAAAAAAAGTGTGTCATTAATATATTTATTAAAATGGACTTCTGCTATTTTCTTCCTCCCTGAGGTCTAACTGTCCACAAGGGGGTGCCTTAAATCAACTGACTCCCCGGCTGGGCAGCCCTCAAAGCTGAGCACAACACGCAAAAACATGACAAAACTGACTGCAATAAAGAAGCACATCCAAAAACAAGATGAATCAGTGAGACATGACAGAGGAGGACTCATTGGTTCAGATGATAACAGGCCTCACGCTTCTCTGTGTTTAGTGAGTCGTTTTCTCACCTGCGTTTCTCTTTGAAGCCAGGGCATGACACCTGAGGCATTTCTATGGCTGCTAAGGAAAATCCTCCTTCTCCAAACACTACTTTCAGATTAAACAGTATCCAACGCAGCTATTTTCTGGATTTTGTTTTTTATTATTATTTTAAAATCCATTTGAGAGCGATACACAAAGCAGGCAGATCAGGGATAAAATTGCTTAAGGTTAGGTCAGAAAAAAAATATCTCAAATGCATCTGATGGAGTAGCCTGTTTATGGCACTGCTGAAAACTACATGCCCAACAAGCACCTCCTCCTGGAATGACCGAATAATTCAGGGGATACATTAATACCAGAGGCAGCCAAGAGAGGTAAGAGCTGGATAAATCCACAGAGCAGCTGAGAGAATCTGTCAATGGCAAGAAGAAAAACATGAGAATCATTAGGAAGAAGGTGCTGTGGTTAGATGAGAGCAAAGGTAGCTCCGTATGGTCAAAGCCCATCTCTCTACCATGTTCAAAGATACAATATGCAGCAAAAAGTTAGGATTTCAATTCAAAATGAAAACATTTATAATTTCCCTTTCACTCTAATGATGTTGTATTTTATGTTTGTCTTTCACATAAATCCTTCCAAGTCGTTTGTTATGTTTCAAACATAAAAAGAATATCAATTGGTTTAAATACTTGTTTTATCAAATGTACTTGACCCAGTTTAAAGACAACAACAGGCTGTATACTTGAATAATGCAGTTTCCAAATTACAGCTATGACAAGGGAGGCAGAGGTCAGGAATCATTGTTAGAGACCCACAGGATGTCCTGAGGAAGAAGTCAGAGCAGAGCTGTATGTTAGCATTCAGAGACAGGGAGGTGCGCAACAGGGAGGCTCGCACTGTGCCTCCTCTCTTTTGGTGGCTTCAGGAGTCTCCCTGGAATGTGTTGCCTTTTTAGCCTGGATTTCATGACCTTTCTTTGCTTCTCAGTCAGCTGGAGGGTTTTAAGCGCCCATCCCTTACTGACATGGACTGAAATTTCTCTAATTAAATGAGAATGGAAAAGCAAAAGCTTCAAAGCAGTTGGGACGTTGAAAGCTCCCAGCTTCATATTCAAATTGCGGCGATTTTCTGGTTTCATTTACAAAATCACAATACCAGGTAGAGGAAACAAAAGGTAAGGGTTGTCACGCTTTTCTGTAGTTTAACATGTCACTGAATTCACGCTGTGTGAGTGTTTCCTGTTGCGGGGCAGACAGGAAGTACTCAGCTTAGTCGGATTTCACTGACTGTGTCTTCGTTTCCTACGATTGCTCACTGCATGTGTCATCTTCCTTGGCATAATGCTTTCTGCAAAGACAGACTGATGCACGATGTTCACGACGAATGTCCGCTTGGACGGCTTCCTAAAACTACTGCGGACTCCAGTTTGTTTCTGAGCCTGAGCAGCATGTACGATGGACTGGAGGATTATATCACTTTTAAAACAAGGAAGGAAAATCTGGGATTGTTTCTGAATATTCCTTTAATTTTCCGGCATGAAGACCATTAAAGGTTTTTACATAGAGCTGGTAGGATGACATATTTACTTTTCTGAAACTTCTGCTGTAGGTTTTATTTTTGTGTCTCCTTGTCATTTTCTCTGAAGCGGTGGAACATATGTAAATGCTTTCTGAGTCTAACAAAAGCTAACATCTTTTTGATGGCTTATAAAGGTTGTAAGAGATGCAATAATCAGGGTTTTATTCTGATTCCAATTACTCTTTATGAATGCAGCCTTTATCAACAGCCTACACTCATTATTTATGAAAGAAAATGACAACATTACAATGTCTGAGAGGGAGTCACTGTAAAAAAAAAAAAAAGTTTTGTATTATTTTAAAACAAGACTCAATGTGGATGTGTCTTTAAAGGATGGTCATTCCTTTATATTTGAAATTTGTCTTCATCATTTAACCCATGGCTTAGGGAGTAGTGAGCAGATTTTTGCAGGCTCTTTCTAAACAACCCAGGATGGCAGTACCCTGCTGCCGGCTGCTGGGGCACCGTTCCTCTTTACTCTTCACTGCTTGAATTCCTAAAAACCAAGTGAATTCTTAGAAGAAAGCAGCTTTACAGTCTTGTGTTTAGCTCCAGGTCAGTTTGCTGCTTCGCTGATTTTATGACTTGACTCCCAGGCAGTGATTTTAAAATGTTATATGGCAGAAAGCTCATTTTCACATCATTATTTGTCCGTTTCTGCCATTATAATAAATGGCAGAAACGGACAAATAATTAGGATAAACGAGTGTTAAATGCACTTAAACACTCGAGTGTTACATGCACTGTGTCCATGCACTTTCTGAAGTTAATTAAAGCTGCTTAAAAGACTAGCCAAAATATTTCTTTAAAAGACAGTGTTTAAACCCTGGAATATTAAAGAAGTGTTATTTGATTAAGAAGTTTGTATCTGATAAGAGGCTGGCATCTTGCAAAGTATGAAAAAACAAAGGTATTACAGGTACTTCAAAAACAACCTTTATTGTCTAATTTATTTTTTTAAATATGCATGTGGAAAATGATATATTCCTATGTCAATATTAAGTCGTTGTTGATTAACTTTTCTGATGCTTTAAACCCAAATCTACCAGGTGTATAAATAGTTTATTATTTTACTTAAAACTTTCCAAGGATATAAACATAAAGTCATCAGGATTTATTTTTTGACTGTTTAAATGATCTCAAAGTCGCTCTGTTTTGATCATCAAACAGTTTCTTTGTGCATTTCCAGTGAAAACGTAACTACCGTATGTGTTAAGGCTAAAGAAAGCTTTTTTTTTGTTTTTTATTTCATCCTAAGGTTGCTTACATTTTCCACTTGTTCTTTAGGTCAGATTTAAAATTTGTAAACTTCTCCTCCTCTAACCATATGGAGATCAAGTGCTGAAGTGTACAAATGCTGTTTTGTGACTCAGCTTTTTTGATGAAATGCTTACCAATTGTATCGCCTTCCTCAGGGATTAACTTCAAGGAGGTGAATCGAGAAAACAAACAGGTCATATTCAGCGAGATACACACATCCATCGACACTTTGGCATTTACGTTTGGCAATGTGTGAGTACAGAGACAAACTTCTTGGTCCTAAATGTTCAAATACCGGTATTCTGGCGCCATAACTGCCTTTGAAACAGTAAAGTCAAATATATGTTTATATATATTCCTGACAGAGTTTCTGACTTCCTTATGGGAGATGTGGACAACAGCTCAGGGTTGGGGATCCCCCAGACCAGGAGGAGCAAGGTGAGAATCAACTCCTTTTTTCCCCTCCAGCTTTTTTGGCCCCCCTATATCTCTCATTTTTGTTTTGAGATATAAAGGTTTTTAAATCAAACACTAATGACAGCTATTTCACCCTATCTCTATTTAAAAGGCCTCAAAGACCTACTTTTTGTGTTCTTAATTGGGGTGTTGAAAACCCAGCTTCTACTGTTTGTGTGTTTCCTTCCCTCTAATCTGAAATCTCTTTTTGCAGTCTTTTGATAACCTCTCCGTGGATCCAGAGTGTTACGTTCCAGGGAACAAGGAAGTTGTTGGTAAGTTTGCGCCACAATTAGTCAATTATCATTAAGCTATTTTTAACCAGCTTTAACCTGAAATGTGAGAGATATTAATGGCTCTTTTACAAAGCGTGTAATTATTGCTTTGTAGCCCTGAGCAACCTGAGCTGTCAGTTTGTGACCTAGCTGAGTAATTTAGCCTTCAGGGATTCGAATGCCTGAGGTAGACCCGCCTTAAACCTCAACTTTAACCCCTGTTATTTCTCCAGCTTTTTCCACACTAGCTACTAATTTCAGCCCCTATTGAAGAGTAAATCTGTATGGCCAGAGGCTGCAAAGGTTGTATATTTTAACCCATAAAAGGAACTTAATGATGTTAGACTGTTTCAAAGTGCGACTGGCAGTTTGGTACCAACCCACCCTGAGAACTTCAGTAATCTTGTTCTGTTTTTCATTTAATATCAGCCTAAGCCACACACATGTTACAGGAAAGTGGAAGTGAAATACACGCATCCAGCTTTGGGACATTCTAGTCAGACCACATATCTGATGTCTGCTTTTTCTGCTGATACTGTAGGCCCTGAGGTGCCGCTGTCAAGAGAGGAAGAACTTGACTTGACTCTGCAGAAGAATGACAGTGGGGTTGAGTCTGCTCTACTCTATGCAAAGGCCTTGTCAAAGTACATTAAAGACCTTATGGGGTGTATGGAGAAGCGGTTTGCAATGGGTGAGACATTCCGGATACTCGGTTGATAAAAAAAGCATTGGTTTTTGATTTTAAGAGAGGATGAGAGAAATTAAATGATCTACCTGCTACTTATGAGACGAACTGCTGCATTAAAGTCCTTAATTCAGACTTTGCTCAACTTTAGGGTCACAGGAATACAGTTTAGATGTAGGGCTGCACTGTATTAGAAAATCAAGTGATTGCAAGTCAGTTTTAAACATTGGGATGTCAACAAAACACTGCCAAAGACACAAGTTTGATCCTGTTGCTTTTGTTTGATATTTATTTTATTTCAGGTAAATATATTCAAAATTGTCCGTTTTTTTTCAGTGTTAGACTTTACTCCTGCAGTAAAAACAATCATTTAATTAAAGGCTGTTTTTCTTTCACACATTGTTTCTTGCTGCGCCTATAAATGAGGAGGGCTCTGTATGGATACAATACTATAATGCTAGTACTGTTTGTAATTTGTAGATATATATATATATATATGTTTTAAAATGTTTTATTTTATTTGGAGTAACTATTTTACCTTTAAACAAATCTTTTTGCTTACAAAACAAACAAACAAAAAAGAATGCTGTGTGGTTTGTTGATCACATTCTTTAGTAGTTTCTTACTGTCTCGCTTTTTTCTTTTTCTTTCAGATATTGAGTACGCCAAAAGCTACGCTAAAATGGCTGAGTCTGCAAAGGCTCTCGCTAGTCAGCAGGTAACAAACCTAAGATTTTATCTGAGATATCATCCTCTTGCTGAGTCAACGTCAGCAACATACAGTAATAAAACCTGAAACTCTCAAAAACACAGTAACGTTAATATTTATTTTCTCTTTGTTTCCTAAAGGATTACATGCCATTCAGTGATATCTACGTCTCCACATTCAAGAATGATATTGAATACAATCAGCTGCTCATTCAGACAGCAGTGGCTCTTCAAACAAATAAATTTATACAGGTAAACGTTACAAGATGTGTCCTCTAACCTTACATAGGCATTTAAATCTGCTAATTCATGTTGTAAAAGCATAAACTAAAAGCATCCATTGCGCACTTCCTTCCACTACCTTTAGTGTATTCATTTGAAGACTATTTGATACAAACTGCAACAACAGAAGAGAAAATAAGCAACATAAATATTTTTGTGGTTTCTGTCCATTTGTTAGTTTGATGAGTCAAATGTGGAATTGATTTCCATAAATTATTTTAGTTTAAAGTGAAATTATGTTTGTTCAGAGACTAAACTTCTTATGAAATGCTTTCTAAAAAATTCTGATGTTTTTTTCTGTTTATTTTCAGCCTCTTCTAGCTCGCAAGAATGAACTAGATAAGTTGAGAAAGGACATTAAGGAGCAGTGGCAGAAGGAGCAAAAGAAAATGGTTTGTTGAAAGTCCCTAGAGAAATACTTGAAAAGTACTTGATAAAGCAAAGAAGATCAAACTTTTTGCTAACAGTTGCTCTTAATTCAGCAACATGAATTTCTTGAGCAAATAAAAAAAGAAAAAAATCCATATTTGTAATGAAAACAAGCAGTTGTTAGAAATATCCCGAAGGAGAAAATCTGTTGATTTGTGTAATCTGTGATAAAGGTCTCAAGATTTTACATTTCCAACCTATTTTGCTCAAACTGATGTTTATTTAATTGTTCATATGTCAGAATGTGTTGATGTTAGTTCATTAGAGCGTCTCTCTACAAGGTAACCCGAACATTGAAAAGGGCATGTCTGATTGTTTCTATGGTAACTGGTGCATACATTGTCACATTTAATACAGTTATATGACAAAATCTTTTGGTTTTGGCAGCAAGAGGTTGACACAACCTTGCGTAAGGCACGAGCTTTGAACGATCAAAGGAAGGAGGAGTACAGAAAAGTCCAGTCATCTACAAACCGCTCCCAGGAGGAGCAGTCTAACGGTGGCAACAAACAGCTGGAGAAGAAGAGGAAGCTTGAAGAAGAGGCTATGCAAAAGGTCAGAAAGGGCACCAAAATGAGGCAATTCTGGACGAACTATCTGGAATTGACAGGTTTCATAAATTATTTGCTATTAATGTTTTTGAGCAGGCCGAGGAAGCCCAGTACCATTTCCAAAGCTGTAGAGCTGACGCAGGCGTCAGGCGATTGGATCTAGCAAATGCTAAGAGCACAATTCTCACACAAATCCGGGAGATGATCTTTCAGTGTGACGTCACTCTCAAAGCTGTAAGAACTGTTTCATTTCACTCTTCAGATGAGAATTGCAATGATCTGTGCAAACATTTTGTTTTGAACACTTCTGACACACAGTAATAAAATCAACAGTATTTCCTAAAATCAGCATTGTTCTCTTTTTTAATAGGTCTCAGTAAATTGGTTTCAGTTGCAGCATTTGCAAACTGTATCCCTCCCAACCCACTACCAGGCCATGAATGAGGGCGCCAAGTTGTACGAACCAGGGCGATGCTATGCTAACTTTGTTCGTAACCTGCCGAGAAATCTGCCTAAAGAACATCTTCAGACAGACCATTTCTCCGAACATTTCAGGTAATAAAAACAGCACCTTTTACTACAATAACATAGGCACTGGTTAATTACAACATAGGAATTGATTGAAAGGTTGCAGCTAATTCCATAGTGTGTTCAAGAAGATGCGCTTCATTAGTTTTAAAGCATCCTCTTTCTCTGTTTTGCTTTTTAGCTCTCAAAACAGATGCTTTCTCCTTTGCTCTAGTAATAGCTATGCTATCAACGTACTCTCTAATTTGAGTGGCAGATCTCTGTAGCTCTTCCTTGGTTATCATTTGTTTCTAGTCTGACTCTTTGGTTATTAGTTTTGTTTTCTGTGATTAAAAGTTTAGGTCTCTGTTCACTTCTGGACTTACTCTTAAAGGCTGGTTATACTCCCCGCAGCAGTGTGTCGCAGTGAGCTTGACGCAGACATACATTATTGATTTATACTCAATTTTGAGCGTGGTCTGCGCTATATGCTGTAGGTCTAGATACGGTCGAGGAGCAGAGGAAGTGGGGGCAAGTTTGTTTGACAATGGAGGGACATGACGGCGAAAAAGCGGGGATTCAGGTGGAAAAGGGTCCCAGCGTTCTTGCGCACCTCACTCTTCTAGCTGGTCCAACTTCATGAGTTGTTTCCCGCAATTGCGGTCATAAAAACAAAACAAGCCGGCGTCCTGTTTGTGTCACTGTCTTCGGTCACCTACAATTTGGGAGAGGTGCAGCAGAGTGTCTGTGGAGGGGGCGGGGATGTCTTTCCATCACTGCGACACCTACGTGTCCTTGCCGAGTTCGGACCGAGCTTGGATTAATTAACCGTGCGGAGCTTGGTTCTTACAACCATTTACACATCACACTAGCACAGTTTCCCGCTTCCTCTCAGCGGCCCTTGATACTGCAGCTCTCAAGGTGGGAATTACGTAAATAAAAATGGCGGCGCCCATTTCTTTCAGGAACTTATGTGCCTGGATAGCGTCCCCCTCTTAAATTTCAATGAGAGGCTCATTCTCTGCATCATCCCAGGTCGCATCAAGCTCTTTGGATGCCATCTATAGTTAATAAGCTGAGAAGAGGTTTGTGTTGTGAAAAGATGAAGAGATATGTGAATTACAAAGCTGGACACGCTGGAAAAGCCGCGAAATGAGTCAGCTGACTGTAAATAGGAGATGATGCGGCCTGCACATGCGCTCTTTGTTATCAAAGAACCGAGCCACGACTGAACCGTGCCGAGCCCCTACTGTTGAACTACTTCGAGATTTAACACAGTTCGGTTTTGTCTGAGATGGTCTAGTACAGTTGCATTCCCATTCACACTCAACAGTTATCTTGGTTACCGTGCTCAGACCGCTCAGTACAGTTTTAAAAGGCTAGTGTAAATGGGGCTTAATTGTTCTAATATGTTGAATTGAATAATGATCTGAGAAATGCTTAAAACACTGAATATTGTTTTTAACATAACCGTTGTTCATCAATGTGCTATAAAAAGCCTTAAAAGACTCAAAACAGCAATTACTACAAGCTCTTAAAACACACAGGGGAACTTTGTTTGGTGATGTGACTTCTAAAAGCTTTTGTTTGCACTGGATTTTAAATTAGGCTATCATGATAAAATACACAAAATCCCACATTAGTGTGATGAATACTTCTTTTACATTAATATATTTAAGTTTATATTTGTAAGATAAAAATTTGTCAAAAAAATTTGTGATTGATTAACTTTTAAAGGAGCTGTGCTTATGGGCTTTTTACTAAATTAGGCTTTTTGAAGTTTAAAGGGATTAAAAAAAAAAAAGGATTTGTCTCAGTTTCAAAATGTGTTTGTGGCTTCACCCGGTTTTAAAGTAACTCAGTTCTTCTTTCAGCAGAGGTAACAGTGAGTCAGAGTAGGAGGAAGAGAGACAGAATCTGGGAGAGACAGATCGCGTGTTGAATTTCTTGCCCTTCCTCAGGAAATATCTGTGTCGCAGGCTGAATGCTGCAGGGAAGATTACGAGCGTGAGAGTTTGGGGCCGGTTTTGAGCTGCCTCTAAATTATTTTTTTCTCCGCGCTAAAATTTAGCCAGTGTTGCTTATTTATACCAAAATAAAAATCACTGTTGCATAACGTCATTTAACATCACAAAATAAAGTGTTCTATTTTGTTTTGTTGTTTATTTTTTTTTTGGGTTTTTTTTGCATTGTTTTTGGGCAAAAAAATTAAAAAATAATAAAAACAAATAAATAAAAGACAAAAAAAAAGATTATGAAATGTGTGATAGTCTGCTTGCATGTCTCCTTTCAGTTTTCCTTTCTAACTATTCTTTCACTCTCATTTATACATAAACACATATTAATTATGAAACATAAGTGACCTGTTCTAAGAAATGAAAGAGGCATTTTGGGTCACTGATACCTATCCCAATGCTGGGCAGTTTTCCAATAATGACTGTAACTTAAACTCCACTGAAACGTATAAATGTATTGAAATCAACTGGATGTATCTGCTTGAAAATGTAGCTTTTATTGCTTTTCAGCTGACCAAACCGAATCAGGAGCCATTTCTGCTTTTGTAAAGAATTCTTTTTACAATAGGAAAATGCAAGAAATCTTTAACCCTAAGCAATTGTGCATGCCGTGCTGATGAACGTTGGCTTTAGCTGTTTTAACAGATGCACAGCAAAACCACACACAGTGGAATAACTAGTGAACTTAGGTCTCATCTGTCACCCAATACTAATTATTTTTGATTAGGGATGTTCCCTGGTGCTTGGATCTAGCAAAGTAACCTTTTGCCAACAATATAATTTCCCTAAAAAAATACCCTACAATTTTATTTATAAAGATGCAAGGCGCCAACACAGAAATTTTAAAATTCACTTTATTTCTGCAGGTCTGGGTTTAGCAAAAGGTCCCAAGGAAGCACCCATTCCTCCCATGGCAACCTGTCGCAGGGCTCCATCACTTCCAGTGACGTTTTAAGTGGAGATGATGTAGATAATCCCCTCCACCGGCCGACAAAGATCAGCGAGCGAAGATCGAACAGCAGTACAGACATCCCAGGTATGCGTTTCAACAGGGTCAAGTTTCAAAAATGTTTTTTTTTTGTTTTGTTTTTCTGAAAGAATCTTGATAAAATACAGTAGTTAGTGCAGCAGCAGGTTTAACATCTCTTAAAAATCTATTGGTTCAACATGCCACTGTCTTTAATCGCCCTTCAGGGGACTTAGCTTGACTGTTGATTCATTGGAATGTTTTTTTTTTAACTAAAGCAGTTGAGGTTGTGTGCTGCTTACTCATAAGTCTGAAATGTGAGTGTGACTGTTTCTGGACTACTAAACCTTTGTTGCTTTGTTTGTGATTAATGTTCTTCTTTTTGGTGTTTCTGTAGCATTGAAGAGCCAGGGACCGCTTAGGGCCTGGGCCTCCAGTAGTCAGGGCAGCCAGGGCGGGATGTGCAGCGACTCAGAGAGCGCCGGGGGCAGCAGTGAATCTAGGTCCATGGACTCCCCCACCGCCAGCCCAGGTAGGAGGATTTTACAATTACTATTTTCTAAAGAAAAAGAAAATCTATTATTTAAAATTTCATTTAATTACATTATTTCTTTTGAAAACATCACACCAAGTCTTGCTATTTTGATAAAATTTGTTTAAACGTATTGAAGACCTTTATCCTTTAAATGTAATTGTGTTCAGTTTGATGAAGTCTTTAGAGAGAAGGGACGGATCAGAAAAACATCAGATACAGGTGGAGATGCTTCTATAAGAAGATCGACATGTTTTAAATATTTTACTGACTGCTTCTTGTGATGTTTTCTTTAAGATAACATCTTGACTTTGAGCTGCAGAGAAATAAAAACACAATCATTCCTAATGTACTTCCTTCCACTACTCACATATTTTTAAAACTTAATGAGCTGATGTTACCACCACAGTTTCTCTTTTGTAGGGATTGGTGTTAGATTTTTTTAAATCGTAGTGCACTATAGGATTTTATACCCTTTTTTATTAATGACTTAACTAAAACTAAAGTTATTTTGTTATGATAACAGGTGACTTTAAGCGTCGGCTGCCCAGAACTCCCTCCACTGGGACCATGTCTTCAGCCGATGATTTGGATGAGAGGGAGCCTCTCTCTCCATTCGACAATGGTAAGAAGCATCTATTAGTTTATTTTAATGTTCAGGCCGATTTATCTTTCTATGTTCGCTAATACCAGCCCTGCATCTGCAGAAAAATCAAAATAGGGAAACAGAAATGGCGCTCAAGTACTGAACAACCTTCTTTCACATACAGCCCATTGTCTCTGATCTGATTTACATTTTGCTATCTGAGATTATTTCACCCTCTAAAAAAAAGCATTAACTGGCTTTAGTTTTTGAGCTTTTTAAATTTCTCAAAATGTGTTTTGATCTCCTTCAGCAGAACCACAGCAAATGTTAATGTATAATTTCCTATGAATTAATGTATTTATTTACTGTTAAGGAAAGGAAGAATATTTGTATATTTGTTTGGTGCGAGAATCAAAGCCCAGATACTCTCTGTTAAGTTGAGGTTCAATTTATGCTTGGCAGTTATGTTAGTTTCCTTATTTAATATGTTGAATGATATCACCTGTTGACTTGGCTTCCTTTCAGATTTGCTCTTTTGATTTCTGGTTTTAGGTCTTGGAGAGATGGGGACAGAAAGTTTAGGTTCTCCTGGTCCATTCCGAAATACTCAGATGTCAAAAGCGGCTCAAACGCATAAGCTAAGAAAACTACGAGCCCCATCTAAGTGCAGAGAGTGTGACAGTCTGGTTGTTTTCCATGGAGCTGAATGTGAAGAGGTAAAAACTATACTACATTAACCAACTGTTGAAATGATATGTAGGTATCAAGGTATATCAAGGTATGTTTACTGATACAGTTTAGCACTGAATTATCCAGAAACTGAAAGGTTTAGGTTTAACATATCACTTTATTTACAAGATTTCACATCTGAATGGACATTTGTGTTGGAGTAGCTCTGCCAGAGTCCAGATTTAAATCTGAGGAAAAATCTAACCCTAGATTTCGGTTATTTCAACTGTCAGTCTGGTGTTTGATAGCTGTAAATGCAATAAATATTCTAACTTAAAAATTTGAGAAGGTTATAAACACATTTTAAAACACAAATTGAAATATACTAAACTCATTTAACATTGTTTTATGTTTATTCATAAGAAAGCTTAAATGATTAAGAATTAAGAATACATATGGACTTGGACAGAAGCAGTGATAAATCCGAAAGTTAACATTATCTCTTCTAACTTCTAATCTCTTTTTGTCAGTGTTCTTTGGCGTGCCATAAAAAATGTCTGGAGACGCTCCCCATTCAGTGCGGCCACAAAAAGCTGCAGGGAAGGTTACAGCTATTTGGCATCGACTTTACTCAAGCAGCGAAGAACTGTGCAGATGGTATCCCATTTATAATCAAAAAGTGCACTGCTGAAATTGAAAGCCGGGCCCTCAACATCAAGGTAAGGTGTTCATATTGATGGTCATCAGTTTTGTTTTTTTCTGCTATATTTCCATCAAAAATAATATAACTAGAATATGCTTTTGGTCTGGTTTTTGTATGAATGTTCATGGTTTCTTCCCACAGGGTATTTATCGTGTGAATGGTGCCAAATCCAGAGTTGAGAAGCTTTGTCAGGCATTTGAGAATGGGAAGGACTTGGTTGAACTGTCTGAACTCTCCCCTCATGATATCAGCAACGTCCTGAAACTCTACCTTAGACAGGTTTGTATCAAACTCTCACTGACTACTCAGAAGACATTATAGTAGGTTTTAATTTGCAGTTTCATCGTTAGCTACAGGGTCGACCAGAAGTTTAAATACAGTCATCATCAGTACACGTACCACAAAAATATCGGGGGTTCAGGGACATGTGTTGAGATGTGCTTTTCCAGAGTGGAATAATACATCCTCATTATTTGAGGGGCAAGTCACAGAGAAACCATAAGAAACCTAACTGCTGATCTCCTAATTTGAGGAGAACTGAAAGATTTTAGGTAGACATTAAATACTTTTAACAACAGTTCAAAAACATAAGGCTACTGCCACCATGCCTAACCGTTATGGATTTGAAAGCATTGCCTTGATTTTTTCTAATCTTCTCCTCTTCACTCCAGTCATGTAGCTTTCTATGCTTCATTTTCTATAGAACTATTCACCGGAGAGCTTATTTCTCTAAATGTGGGAAGCTGCAAACGCCATAGCTGGATATAAAGTGTCATGTCAGGGACTATTATCTTTGGTTAGTGTTAAACTCCCATTGGCTTGGATCTTAGCCCAATAGAGTTATTGACTGGAGTGACGTTGAGAAATACTTTGATTTTCTAACAGGAGAAAATGCTTCTAAAAGTCTATTTAAAGTAGATTGTGGGAAATAAAGTACATTAAAGCTTAGCTTGTTAAAGGCCCCTGACCTCAAGCTTGTATTAGAATAATAATAATAAAATTGACCATTATTGATCTCACATTGGAGAAATTAACTCTCTTCATTCAACCCATCTCCTTGGGGAGCAGTGGGCTGCCACTGTGCAGCGCCCGGGGAGCAGTGTGGGGTTAAGGGTCTTGCTCAGGAGGCTGTAGGGATCGAACCGGGTACTTGCATCGTCGCAATGTTGTAGGGCAGATTTGTCATGGCAAACCAACCAATTTAAACACGCTGTATGAAACAATCCCTAAACAGAAACATTCGACATACCTGATGTACTATAAGATGGCTATAAGAATAGTTCAGCTTCATCATCAACAGCGCAACATTAATATGATATCCATATAAATTATATCATCATGTATGCTAACTTCTGAAGTTTATGCTGTTTAACTTCTAAGATTTAACGATATGATTTTATTTTATATTTTTAGAAGCATAAATCCATTGGTGTTTCCTTTCCAATAGTTACCAGAACCACTGATCCAGTATCGATTTTACAACGACCTTATCGGCTTGGCTAAAGAGTGTCAAAGAGTGATAGCAGAGGAAGCTGGCAAGCCTGCGAGCACCCAGACGGAAGAGAAAGGTGCGCCAAGCGTTCAGATGAGCAGAATAATTTCGAAGATCAAAGATCTGATACGCCAGCTACCCACTGCCAACTACAGGACGCTACGTTACCTAATCGCTCATCTGAACAGGTATGAGTTGCTACTAAAAGACACGAAAATGTGTCTGTTGATCTTTTTACAATCACATTGACTGGCCAACTTCCTCATACCACTCAAAGGGAAACACAGACTTCCCTAAAGCTACAGTGGAACTGTTAAAGCATGACAGCATACAGCCTGTGGTGTTTTAGTCTCATTGAACTGGTTTTCAAATCTTGGCAAATCTGCATTAACATTTAGAGTGGTAGCTTGTTATAGGCCTGGGGGATAATTTATGTTATTAATCAACATTACAGAAAGTTAAAAGACTTTTAGCCGTGGCATGGCTCTGTAGAAGAGCAGGTGCACCAATAATAAGGGCTATTAGACCTCAACGCAGCTTTCATGGGTTTGAACCCCGGAATCAGGCCGTTTTCTGTCTTCCCCTTTCTGTATCTGCTTTTTTATTCTGCCATTAATCTCACAAAATCTAAAAGAACAAAAAAGCTTGTAGCTTATCACTTCATAAAAAAGTGTCACTGCACAGTCTCAGAAAGTTTTGAACTACAGGGGAAAGGCTGTTTTTCAGGTCTGCATAGGCCTGGAAAAGGAAACAGTACTACTGAAAAATGTTTGCATTTCTAGATTTTTATTTTATTTCATTATATAACTCATTTTTTATCTAACTGTCTGCTCTACCTATCTGTTACTGTAACTTGTTTATTTAGTAGGAGTGACCTGTAGAAATGTATTTCATGAGTTCATATTATAACTTTTTTTTAAGCTTTTGTCTGACATTTCTGTTAAAAAATGTGTCCAAGATTTCCGAAAACATCTGGACATTTAAAACTGGAAACGGTTATTTTAACATAAAGAAATTGCAGAGAGGTGGGGGATGTCTGTATTAAAGCAAAGATTAAAAAAACAACAACAAACAAACAAATTAAAATAAAAACTGACAACTAATAATGAAAAAAACATGAAATTACTTCTTGAAATGAATGCCTCCCTTTATCTTCACAGAGTGAGTAAACAGGCTGATGAGAACAAGATGACTGCCAGTAACCTGGGTATTATCTTCGGGCCCACGCTGGTGAAACCCAGACAGATAGATGCCGAGGTGTCCCTCTCCTCTCTGGTGGATTACCCCTGTCAGGCACTGATGGTCGAGATGCTGGTGCGACACTTCCATATAATCTTTGATGCAGCTGGTTCTGAGATGTCCTCCACCTCTGCACAAGCCTCTCCCAGACTGACCCCACAAGAGAAATTGCGCCAGCTCAGCAAACACTCCACCTCCTTAACAGACATCAAGGAGGTAAGGATGTATTTAAAGTTTTCCCTTTAGTTGCAGTTTGACTGGCATTACTAACATTTTTTTGACCGAGGATTATTCTTATACCAGTTGCAATAAACATGAGGTAAACAGCTTCTGAAATGTACAGGACAAGCTATTAATACCAATACATGCTTTTATCATTCTTAAACAGCAGATAATGAGTTTCATTATTTATGTAATTTAAAGTAATCTCGTTCAACCAATAGAATGAGAAACATTTTGTGTAGTTCTAACCACACTCATTTGAGAAACATGAATAGACTATTTTAAGTAACATATGTTCAATTAAAAAAAGAGAAAAAACACCTTATAACTAAAAGGTTTATACGGTTAAAACAAACAATTAATTCTTTCTAATTTCTTAAACGTCTGTAGTAAAATATCTACGGCTTTCATCTATAATGAAAATTGGATGTTTCTCTTGGTTATAAATATGAGACAACTCAGAGATCATCTTTTAGAAAAGGACCTAAGTTCCATCATAGTACCGTATTTTCACGACTATAAGGCGCACTTAAACGTCTTTTTTTTTCCTCAAAATGTGCGGTGCGCCCTATGGTGCGGTGCGCCCTATGTGTGTTGTAACTGCGACTTTTGAGACCACCTCATTGAGGAGATGATGAAAGAGTGGCTGAATGTAAGGAGACCAGGTGTTTTTTTTCCACCCCTCACCATCGCTGTTAATATGTAACTCCATGCGTGCCCATCTCACAGCCGATGTGAAAAAAAGATGAATCAAATTAACGCTGTGCTCGCCGTTATCTCGGGGGTCTGACAAAGGAGCTTCCACCGCTCGACATCGAAGCGGCCGTTCACAGTAAGGCTGCGAGCGGCGTGGGAGCGATGGATGACAGACTGAGACTACAGTTTCATGATAAATGGAAGGCAGCGCCGGGCAAGTTACGCCACCGTTTGCGGATGGATTGTAGATGGACTGTGTCTGCTGGCTCTGTTCTTCAAGCTTTCGCAAAAGCCGGCATTATTTCTGAGGAGCTGCGCTGCACGGAAAGTGACTGACAGCGAAGAAGGGGAAACTGGCATGTCTGATTTAGCGCAGCTGTTTAATTCAGAAACAGAGGATGAGGACTTTGAGGGGATTGATTAATACTCTGTAATAAATACTTGAATAAAGCACAATCATACTCAATTTTGCTCCCGCTCTATTTTTCTACCTGAAAACTTAATTCAACAGCAGGCTCTGGGCCGCAGCGCATCAGGGCTCACCTCCGCAGGTGTTTTTTCATCTAAATAATCTAAATCTTTTTGAGTGAGAAAGTCCACCTGAAAATTTAATCATTGCAGTCAGTTCATCCAGATTATTATCCTGCCTATGTTTTAAGTTAATTTATGCGTCAATAAACTGTATCAGAGGAGTAATCGCAGCCCTGTGTCATCAGCGATGTGTCTCTCACGGCTGGTTCCCAGGTTTGAATAATACTTTGTAATAAATACACCTTGCAGCTTTATTTGCTGTGATCAGTGGGAATAAAGTAGTTTTAATATGTTTTTAAGTGAGAAAGTCCACCTGAGAGGACATGTACCTTTATATAAAAAACGCGCCCTATAGTCCGGTGCGCCTTATGTGTGTGTTAAATACAGAAATGGCACACATAACTGAGACTGCGCCTTTTAGTCCGGTGCGCCTTATGGTCGTGAAAATACGGTAGTTGAATTTAACTTCCATACCAGCTGATCATTTGAAGCCAATGCCAGGAACTTTTCTGCCCTAGCATCACAAATGTAAACATGCAAACACACTTTGGTAATATGAGATTGAATTTATTAATGTGTGAAATCTCAGTATAGGCATGCTGTTAACTATTGGTAGGAGACTGTGTCTCTATGAACCCATGGGGTATTAGGTAGAGTGCATGGTATCTTTAAAAGCTTAGAATACAGACACGGTTGTGTTAAATGATGCGTTGCTAGTAAATATTTCATCAATTCATCTCCAGCTGAGGAACCACAGATGTGGAAATTAAGCACTATATTATCAGTAGAATAGTTTTGTAGAGATGTGTAAATAGCCCCTGGTCCTTTTTTAATTTATAACCCTAATTCTTTTTCCACACTAAATAAATGTACTGAAATCCAAAACTGGACTTTGCTAAGGCTTTTTGCACCACATTGCCATGTGGTGGTAATAAATGTTGCTTGTGTTAAGCGTGTATGTAAGTGCCTTTTTGTAGGCTTACAAGTTCCTGTCTTATTCCTATTCATTCATCTGGCACTTTTTGAAGTACATGTTGTAAAACTTCTATGGAGAAATACAATGAGATTTTAATCCTTTTTAATCCTCTTTGTCAAATCTATCCCTTCAGAGTGCCAAAATATACAAAAGATACTCCTCAGTAATCCCATCATCCCACGTCCTGGATGAAGTGCAGGAGGTCCAACCAGGAAAAGACAAATCAGACTGTTCAGTTGTAGAGAAAGTAAACGGGCTACAGACTTCAAGCGGACGGGAAGGCCAGAGGTCAACCCTACAGGTTAACCGCCCCACCTCCAATATCTCCTACACCAACACTTTGCCAACAAAAGTGCAGCTGCGCAACCAGGCTGTTCGACACACTTCAAGGCCAATCAGCATGCCGCTGGAACGCCTGCTAGCACCTGCTCCAATTCTTGAGAGGAATAACCGGAACAAAGCGGATGCTGTCGATGGAAGCTCTCTTCAGAGGGACACAGAGACCATACAGGAGATTCCAGAGCCTGAGAGGGCTCGCCAAAGTGGATCATCCAGGATAAGCACCTATTACATTACGCCGTTTATCGACACACAGACTATGCAGAGGAGAACATGGGATAAAAAGTACAAGCACTATGATATGACATCTAGAACTGCCATGATTGTCGCCAATCTGCCGCCCACCAGCTCTGGGTTGCAGCCTGTAAAAGCCACTGTGCCCTTATCAGTCAGCACAGCAGCAACCACAGCTTCTGCGCTTCCTACTACCAGTAGCGTGAGCACTATATTCTCCAGCAGCCCCAGCATGCTGTCAGTCAAGTCTGTGTGGAGCTCTAAGCGGGAACAAGATACAGAACCATCCATCAGTGGCTCCAGCAACTCATCGAACGTTTCGCTAACACTCAGGGCTCCACGGACTCTTCAGCCCCCTGCTGGAACTTTCTACATCCCGCCAGTTTCTAGTAACAGCAGATCGAGGACACTTTCAAGCTGGACTACAACCACATCCAGCACCCCCTCGTCACTCACCTCCAGCACCACGTCCCCAGCAGCCTCCCCTCCCCCAACCCACACAACCCCATTGAAGACACTTCACCAGACTCAGGACTCCACAGACAGCGCCATTGACCCCGGGGTCTCGACCTCCACTACCGCTTCCCCACAACAGTCCCCCCCTCCAAGCAGCCCTGATGACCTCAGCCCAGCTGAGACTACATCCATTTACCAAAGACTCCAACGTTTGCAGGAGAACGAACACAGAGAGGCTCATTTTGTCTGACACCAAATAAACAACTAATTGTTTTTGTAAATAGAAATAAATCTGTGCAACAGGTGGTGAATGGGAGTGAATGCGGGCAAGTAGACATAAACCATAAAAGTGTTAAAAGTTCTAATATATTCCTTTTTACATGTTAAAGACAGAACTAACAGCAGCAGGTCAAAGTAAGCTAAAGAAATACGCAACAACATCAATGTTTACCATCTCAAATGTTTTTTTTCATCAGTATATTTGGCAATGAAATACGGTAATATTGTAATGTGAACCAAAAACTGTTGACCAGTCCGTTTTCTTGTTCAGTGTTTAATCTGTGACAAAATTCCCCTTTAAAAGTGGCACTTCTAGGCTGAACTGCTTATGTCCCTTAAGTTTTTAGAAGTGCTGCATTTCACAAGGGAATGATTGAATGGAATGAAGTTTTTTAAAAACAGTTACTGAAAAGGTTCTGATCTTTATCCAAATGTGTCCTGTGTATTTTGATTGGTACATCTGTTCTCACTATATTAGCCTTACAGTACATATCTGTTCATGTGTATGCATTCATGCAAACATACTCAGCATTTGTTGGAATTATTTTATCTCATAATTTTATTATAAAGTGGCGGAATGACATGCAAAACATCTTGCTGCAAATTAAAAAAAAAGCTGTTTTTAAATATATCTGTTTTGAGAATGGGATTTTTTTGTTTAATCAGATTTGAATATTGTGTATGCACATTGTTTCTTAAATAGTTCAAGTATTTTTTTTAAATAGAAAATATATACAATTATATCAAATAACCTCTAAACAGAATTAAATTGGGTTCTGCTCCTTATATAAAAGTATAAAACAAGAGGGTATTATCTTACTTTTTTTTGTCATCCATCATTATCAAACAGAATATAAGATAGAATATAATATATTTTTAGGTATGATGTGTATTTAATTAAGTTAAATTCAGAATAAAACAATACTCAATAACAATATAGAGGCTCAATCTAAAAATGTAATGAGCTAATTAGTAAAGACTTGAGTTTACTGAGGGAGAAATGGACAGATGGATGGTTTTAGAGTTTTTGTTTTCATTTTTTAGACCAAAACAGATTACTTTTACTTTCAGTGTTTTGACACTGATAAATCCGCCGAGTGTTTGTTCATTTAGTTAGAACAAAAACCTAACAGTATCCCAGCCTGACCACTTAAAAAACTGGAAATGTGTGATTTATGTGTTTTAATCCGCAAACCTATAAAGCTATTTCCATTTCTCACACGTTCAGCTTTTCCTTCTTATATTGGAACAAATGTTCTCTTTTTTTTTTTAAGTTTATGTATCTAGATTTATTTTTTTCCTTTTGCATTGGATAGATTTTCATTTTCCTAAATCAATCTCAGTTTCAGGATATATTATGTTTGCAGGAGGCTCAGGTGGTTTTAATCTGCTACTTTCAAACCTTCACATCCTGCTCAACTAATTACTGGTGTCACCTGCGTCTCCTCGCAGAAGTGACTCATCTTAGACACAAACATGCACAAAAAATATAACAAACACTCCTGTCTGTTAGGCTTGCATTGCTCCTGTGTCCTGTAAATCCAAACTCTTAATTTATTCTGTAGGTGTTTAGCTGTGGGATTACACACTGCTGCAGGTACATTTGTGCTCCGCTTTTTTTTTTTTTCCTTTCCCAAACATATTTGCTGCTGCCAGGATGAAGACCACCTCCTGCTTTTCCTCCGCCAGGTTTCCCTCCTTTTTCTTTCTGCTGCAGGTATCCGCCTAATTCTACCTCAAAATGGATGACTGTTGTCTTTTTTCTGCCTGCCCATGTTGAGCCGGGAGATTAGAGCAATCAGATTAGGAGTGCTGCTGACCTGCAGGCACAGATAGAGAGAGAGAGAGAGAGAGAGGGTGGGCAGTCCGAAGTCATCTTCTTCTTCCCAGCTTAATGTTTTGCATGACTTCAGCTTGTTTTTGACCCCGATTTTCTTGATGTTGTTCGACTTTATTGTTATTCTGTGAGCAGGTAAGCCAGACATTCAAACTGCTGGATTGGATGCGTGGAAACAGCCCATAAAAGCTGACAGGTGTGTGTGGATGTGTGGTCATTGCTGACACACTTGATGTAACGTATGTCTTGTTGTAGAAGTTACTTTGATGGGTTGCGACATGTTTTCACGATCATTTCTGGATGTATTCTGCCCGGCATGTGTAAGGAAATCCTGTTGTGTGTAATTTGTACTTCAGTAAGTAGACGCCTTCAGAGAACTCAGACACATAATAATAGCTTTTAGACTCCCTGTTTTCTAGCTGCAGTTCCCCTTTTGTTTTTTTTTCTTCACAAGCGTTTGTCTGCATCCTCCATCTGGCCGTCTGCAGTAATCATTTAGACATGTTCTTGCATCCTGTGATGTTCCATCAACGCATTACTTGTGCATGGCACATGATTTCTCCTATATTAATTTGTTTCTTTTTTTGGCGGATTCAGATTCAATTTGTACTTGTTATTCAGGTGGCATGTCAATACAGAGAGAAGTCATGCTTAAATCGTCTTTTGGATTAACAGTTTGATGAAACAAAAGCCCAGTATAAGTTAGGAAGTGTTTCTCTGGAACATCTCTAAAGGCTTTACCTAAAGTGGTTTAAAGTTAACAGTAAGGCCTATTACCATCAAGTTAGAGTACAAGATGGGTCAAATCCAAAAGGTCAAAGCTGGTGTAAAGCAAATAATGCTTGTGCACCTTTGTTATTGCTAATGAGAAAATAAGCAAAAGCATCTTTATGTCAGTTTATTGTAAATTAACAAGAAAATGTTTTTGTTGTTTCATGTTTGTGTTTTTTTTTTACCCATAAGTTGTAGCCCAGCAATCTAAAATCTAACTACAGCTAAAGCTGTAAAGTTCTAACTGTAGTACACTGTGATTACTCTACTTCCTACTGGGGCTTACAGGAGCGTTCATAGATTTAATAGTTTGGAAAAAAAATAAATAAATTGACGTTTTTCTTCAGAAGATAGTTAACAGTCAATATTTAATCCAAAGTGATAACAGTTAATTATAGGGTTTAGATCTGCACTTGCATTGGGCCGCTCTAACTCATTGGTATCCTTTGATCTAAACCAGTTAGCTCCAGTTGAATGGTAATGATGCACAATTGCTGCATCTCCCAGATTTACCTTATATTTAGCTCAATTCAGCCCTACTAGCTTCATTATTCCTGATGAAATGCATCACCACATGATGCTGCTACCTCCATGTTTCACCATCAGGTTGGTGCATTCAAGGTGTTACTTGCTAAGTACACCCAATGTTGCATAAATCTTTCAGTACATTCCTTCCTGTAATAGCCTCAGTGGTGGAGTGCAGGGTTAATAGTTGTACAGATTCTCTCACCTGAGTTGTTGATCTTTGCAGCCCTTTCAGTTTTACCATAAACATTAGGCCTGTTTCTCTGAATAATGCTCTCCTTGCCCAGCCTGTTAGTTTAAGTTGAGGGCTTTTCTTGGTAAGTTTACAACTTTCTTATTCCCAGTAGTGGATTAGACTCTGTTTGAACTTTAACTCAAAGGTTGCATATTTTTTAATTATTCAACCCTGCTTCAAATTTCACCACAGCAAACGTGCCAGCTGCCTTTCTTGAGTTTTTATTGTGTTGGTTTAGTATTAAACATCTGAGGCCTTTACAGAAGAGCTGAATTTATATTGAAATACACAAAGATGGACTACACTGCAAAAACTGATCTAAAAATAAGTACATTTAATTTTAATTTGAGTGTATTTCCCCTTAATCTAAACAGGTAAATAAAACAATCTGCTAACAGAAGGAGCACTTTTGCCTTAAAATAAGATGATTTGACATGATGGACTTGAAATAAGATACTGGAGGTGTTTTTTTATTGAAAAGCAAATCATCTTGTTTCACTGACACACCTGCTCAAATAAAAAACAGACAAATTAGTATTTCAATAACATTTGATGTACTTACATTTCAGTTTTTGTAGAGTTTTTTCTTGCCTTGTATTAAACAGTGTGTTTTTTTTTCCTTTCACTTCAGCAGTATATGAAATCACTCAAAAGTTTAAAAACAATAATGAACTATAAATAAGCTATGATAAAATCAATGACCACTTGTGTTGGATTTTTTTAATACATTTAAAAAAAGATGCAGAAAGGTTGTTTGGTTGTGAAGTAAAAAAAAAAAGGTATAATACTATTGCCAGTACACTGGGTGTTCTGTGCTTTTCTTTCTTAAAGATAGTATACAGAATGCTGTTTAAAACCAATCTGTCAGTCTCGCTATCATAAAAGCAGAGATGGGTTAATACAGCATCCTTTCCACTCTTCCAGGGAGTACCGGGCCCTTTAATAGGGGCTGTTAGGTCTCTGTACGACTGGTGTCAGAGCCTGGTCCGCATTGCCGGCAGTAAGTCGGACTCGTTTCCGATGAGGGTTGGACTCCGCCAAGGTTGCCCTTTGACACAGATTCTATTCAGAACTTTTATGGACAGAATTTCTAGGTGCAGCCAAGGAGTTGAGGGGATCTGTCTTGGTGGCCTTAAGATTGCGTCTCTGTTATTCGCAGATGATGTGGTTCTGTTGGCTTCATCAGGGCGTGATCTTCAGCTCTCACTGGATCGGTTCTCAGCCGAGTGTGAAGCAGCCTGGATGAGGATCAGTGCCTCCAAATCCGAGGCCATGGTCTTGAGCCGGAAAAGGGTAGAGTGCCTTCTCTGGGTTGGGGAGGATGTACTGCCCCTAGTGGAGGAGTTTAAGTATCTTGGGGTCTTGTTCACCAATGAGGGGAAGATAGAGCGGGAGATTGATAGGCGGATTGGTGTGGCGTCTGCTGTGAAGCGTGTGCTCTACCGGTCTGTTGTGGAGGAGAGAGAGCTGAGCCAAAAAGCAAGACTCTCCATTTACCGGTCGATCTACGTTCCTACCCTCATCTATGGTCACGAACTTTGGGTCATGACCGAAAGAACGAGATCCAGTGGCTGAAATGAGTTTTCTTCGTAGTGTGTCTGGGCTCTCCCTTAGAGATAGGGTGAGAAGCTCAGTTATCTGGGGAAGGACTCAGAGTAGAGCTGTTGCTCCTCCACATCAAGAGGAGCTAGTTGAGGTGGCTCGGGCATCTGGTTAGGATGCCTCCTGGACGTCTCCCTGGTGAGGTGTTCCAGGCATGTCCCTCTGGGGGGGAGACCCAGGACACGCTGGAGGGAATATGTTTCTCGGCTGGCCTGGGAGCGCCTTGGGATTCCCCCGGAGGAGCTGGCCCAAGTGGCTGGGGAGAGGGAAGAGTGAAGTCTGGGCATCCCTACTGAAGCTGCTACCCCCACGACCCGACCCTGGATAAGCGGAAGAAGATGGATGGATGGATGGATGATGGACCTGTTTTAAAGTTTTCAAACTTGCAATTTTTATTTTTTTGAGAAGGATGTTTTGGACGTTTGTATCACTTAACTTGTGATACAGTTAAAAGGTTAAATTAAAGAAGTCAGCAAATAGCTGTTTAGTTAGTAAAGTTCTAAAAGTTTTATTTAAAGAGTGAAAAATGGTACAGTACACGTTTTGGCAGATTAAAGGTAAAAGAAAGGACCACCGAGTTTGCAATGAGTGAGCCAAGGTTTTTGTTTCTGTTTGAATACTTTGGCTTTAGAATCCTGCTGCTCTCCAGCTGAGGCCCAGATTGTGCCAAAATATGTTGAAACAGAATTGGTAATTGGTATTTTGATTAGTCCCTCACAGAAATTCCACAAATTTCTCTTGTGTATTCAAATAAAGTGTTAAACATAGCTCATTTTAGATAATGTTGATGATTGAGTAATTAAATCTATTTTATAGCTATCTATTTAAATATAGAACAACCCTAATCTAAAATGTACGGATGTTTATTTCTGTTGCTTAAGATTTATAAAAAAAAATGTACATTTAAAAATTCAATATACTACTTAAATCTGATTTTTAAAATTTCCAGGAATGATTTCACATCTTGGTTATCTGACCCCAAACAAATACAGTTTATACATATTGTGTCTTTGGAAACTGTTCATTTAACACATTATTTTGCAACAAAAAATGTGTGGTTTGTTATTTCTTGGGTATTTTAATTTTTTTTTTTTTGGACAAGCTTCGATCATCTTTGTTCGAATTCTAAAGCTATTCCCTTTTGTCTGGCCTGTGATGCTGCTATAATAAAGAAAACCTCTGTGAAGTACAGTTTAAGACTTGTGCTACTGGGATTTTAATTGTAAACAAATATGGGTTGTTATAATACATGTACTAAATTAAGTATAAAATGCTTCAAAACACTTTCTTCTCTTTGTCTCTCAGTCTGAATGCTTGTTGAACAAATCAAACAATTTCAAAAGAAACAAATACATTTAACAAACTTAAATGCACCGTCACATGAAGATGTATATTCATGAAAAAACCTAAGCAACAAATAAATAGGCGTGTTAACTTATATAATCAGTTAAAACCTTGATGGCTCTTTGTATTTATGAATGAATCTAAAATTAACTGCGTATTGTAGCTTACAACCCACTGACGATCAACAGATTCGATAAAAAGAGATAAAGGACTTGTTGTTTTAAATAAATGAAAAAGGCCACACTGCTTTTATGTTCTTTTTAACATAATGTTCTAACCCTGGAGTCTGCAGGCTCAAACATTTTTAATACAAAAATAAATAAATAAATGAACTTGGAGTGCATGTCCAATTACAACCTCAGAATTAATTACTCCAGAAATCCATTATCTATACCCACTGATCCTTGCAGGGTGGCAGTGGGTGCTGGTGTATGGATCCATCACAAAGTTAAATAGACATAAACACAAAAAAGGTTTGTATATACCAACTAAAACCTAAGGACAATTCGGAAGGACCAGTGAACAGTCATGTTTTGGGAATGTGGGAGGAAGCCAGGGTGCCTGGAGAGAATCTATGCATGTGCAGGGAGAACGTGTCACTTTGGTAAAGGTGGTTCCAACTGCAAAACTATGCGTGGAACAAAAAAACAAACAAACTCAGAAATCTAAATAGTTTAGTGTTTTATGTAATAAATCATCAAGAAGTAGGACATTTTAAGTGACGGAAAAAGTATACAGGAATTTATTTTAATATGAGGTTATGTAAAAAGAGGTAAAAACTAATGCATACCAGTAGTCCTACATTAAGACCATAATTTATCCCATATATATATATATATATATATATATATATATATATATATATATATATATATATATAATATCATATAGATAGAACCTAATTTATTTTGCATTTATATGTTTGTATAAGACAAAAAAAAAGTAAATTCCAGTGTTAAATATGCCATGTCAAAGTACGCTGACTCTTTTATAGTTATTACAGCTACAACTGGTATGTAAAGAGTTAATTTAACACTAATTCAAAGTTTTATCCCTCAGATTGGTGTTAAATTTAACTCTTGACGTTTTACTTTAACACTGCAATATTTACTTTGCACCACCTTAACATGGTGGTGGCAGCGTTATGCTGTGGGGATACTATCTTCAGCAAATACAAGAGAGCTGGCTAATTAAACAAAGATTAGATGTAAATGCCAGGAAATCTCAGAAGAAAAGAGCAGTCAAAATACTTGAGAACTCACCTAATACGAGAACAACAGCCAAGAGCACATAGCAACAGAGTAATGGGGCCAGTTTAAAACATATTTAAGTGTGCCCTCTCAGAATTCAGACATGCATGCAGTTCAGAAACTGGAAAGACTAAAACAGTAGTGTTGAAAGATAATCTCTGATTGAACTTAAGTTGTTCTGCAAAGATTTATGGGTTAAAATGCTTACCTTTTAGACTTGAAAAGCTAGAAGAAAATAACTTGCAACAGTAACTCCAGAGAAGGGTCTGTTCTATTAAAAATACCTCAAAGAAAAGTGGTTAAATATATAGCATATTAAGATTTTATTTTCTAAAATATTTGAAAAACTTTGTTTTTTTTAAGCCTCCTCTTTTATATAAAGTCCTGCGGAAACATATTCAAGTTTTGTGGTTTGAATTCAGTGGGTTTAAATACTTTTGCCAGACACTGTAAATAATCCCTTGTTAATCCCATGCGTCATCTCATGGTGTAATCACTTCAGTGCTATCCATAAACCTTCAAACTGATCAAGTCATAGTTGCTCTGATGTTGATGTGGTAAGCTGCTGGATTCATCAATAACGTGTTGTTCTTACAGGTTCTTCTCAGTCTGATGACCCCCTCCAGGGGTTGAGCTGCAGAGTAATGAAGACAGGCTCGCAAATCCGCCTGTTACTATGGAAGAACTGGACTCTTCGCAAAAGACAAAAGGTGAGTAGCTTTCAATGATTATCGATAAGAGTTGAAACACTTAAAAACTGAAATTTGCTTATTTGCTATGTAATAGTTTTTAAACTTCAAGGCTCATGCTTTATGTTGTTTTGATGCAACGCTATAATGAACTGTTTTACCTGCTTATATTTAGATTCGCTTGCTGGTGGAGATCTTCTGGCCTGTGCTGTTATTCATTGGTTTGGTGTGGCTGAGGAAGGCTAATCCCCTCTACCAGCAGCATGAATGTAAGAAAATCCATCCATGCATCTACTGCTATTTATCCTTCAGGGTCAGGGGGGCTAGGCCTATCTCCAGCAGTCCTAGAGACCTAGACAACCTAGAGAGGCTGGAGTGCAACACATACAACCACACACAGTCACACCTACAGTAGGGGCAATAGAGATAGAGATATAGATCGATTTTTTTTAAAAACTGTCCGAGAAAGCCAGGGTACCCCGGTGAGAACCCACACGTTTGGGGGGAACATGTAAACTCCATGGAGAGAGATGTTAGGCCAGGAACTGAATCCAGGTTCTTCTTGTTGCAATACCTTACCTTACATGTCATAAAGCCTGACATACTCTCTGGTGTTATGTCTGTTTCTTCAGGTCACTTCCCCAACAAGGCCATGCCATCAGCAGGAATTCTCCCCTGGATCCAGGGGATCTTTTGCAATGCCAACAACCCCTGTTTCAGATATCCAACACCAGGAGAGTCACCTGGTGTTGTTTCCAACTATAACAACTCGGTGTAAGAAAAAAAAACAACAACACTTAAACTTAAATGTAAATTTCAAAAATTATTTAAAGCTGTTTTTTTTTTGTTTTTTTTTTGGACCAAATGCAGTTTGGCTAGATTCTACGTTGACATCCAGGAGATTCTGCTCAATGAAACAGAGATCCGGCAGTTTGGTAGGCTTTGGCAAGAGATAACGTCCTTCTCAAACTTTATGGAGACCCTACGCAATAATCCCTCTGCAGTTGCAGGTAAAGAGACGGACATGGAAGGCATGTTCTATACACTATAGTAAACATACTTTGTTCCATACAGTTGTTTATAACCAGGCCAATCAACAGAGTTTTTGGCAGACATTCTTTCCTCTCAATCACCTAGTGTTTGTTCTGTGTCTGATCTTTCACTATCAGTGTTTAATGGTTTTCCTTTTAGGCCGTGGACTGAGGATTGATGACATTCTAAAAGATGATGAGGTCCTTACAGCCTTCCTGTTAAGAGACGCAGGCTTTTCTGAGTCTATTGTTTACCAGCTTGTCAATGCCCGAATACGTCTGGAACAGGTAAAGCTCTAAAATATCAACCAGAATACTTCTTACTTATGTTTTCTCCATCTCAAATTTGGCTTTCAGGGCAAACATGTCAAAGGGAAAACCCTTAACATTCTCCTTGCTGATAAGACTGTCTGGTTCACTCTGGAGGATCATTTTATTCCCATGTCAAGAAGGTTATATAGTCCTAGAGCTGCTTTTTGGCACAGCACTGAGATCTTGTTTTAGAGGGAAACTTCCAGTAACTACTGCCTCTTGGCCAAGTTGTTTAAAATCGGTTCCAGACAAACTAATCAGATTCAATTAAGGTAAAATAATAATAATTAAAAGCAAAACTTCCCCAGAAAGTGTTTTGGAGGCATCCTGGTGAGATGCACGACTCACCTTAGGATGGATGGATGGATGGATGGATGGATGGATGGATGGATGGATGGATGGATGGATGGATGGATGGATGGATGGATGGATGGATGGATGGA